TGTTTAAAAGACGTTTTAAACTTATAAAACTTATTCTTAAGGTGCAAAAGATCACAAAGGGCTTAACAGATCTTTTAATCCCAGTTACTTTGTGCACGTCCTGTTAATATGATCATATGCATTACTAAGGAAACGTTAATATGCTGCTGTCAATCAATTGGTTGAGCAGGAAAACCCCACTCCTACATCATGTTGCGGTGGGCCACAAAATGGGAGGGATCTGGATCCTATTTTAACGCCAGGAAATGATTCTGTTTATATCACTCCAATATGACTGTGAACACACTATACAGACAGTTATGTCCAAACAGCTTACAAAAATGATTTGCATCATAGGTGCCCTTTAAGACTTATTTGCAGGATGAATAGAAGAAAATTACACCTAAAACATTTAATCATTTGGTGTTCTCAGTCCCTAAATGTTTTAAGTGTTGTGAAAAGGTAACATAAAAAACAACTTATGAAATTTGTTGCAAAGTAAATTTGGAAATCACTACTTTTTTTTTTATTTTGTGCTTTCTGTATTGTAACTGTTACTGTAACATTTTCTTTACAACTTTGTATTGTAAATTTTACCAAAATATAGCATGCTACCTTATTTTAGTTTTTTTTTAAAGTAATCATATGTTCAATGCTTATTTTACCCGCTGTATGTATTTAATTACATTTTGTTTGAAATGATTTCATTTAACTTTTTTGTTTTGTTTTCATTTGAATTATTTCATGTTACATGAAAATAGAACCAACGCCACCTATTGGTCAAAAGTGATGAACCATTAAATCCAAATTGTAATAATGTTTATAGAATGAAAGGATTTAGAACCATTTTGAGTAACATCATCTTAGCATTTCTTGATTTTCATTGCAGTTTGTTGGAGCCTCTCTACCACCTTAGCTGCTAATTCAACCTATTTTAATTGCTGAAGATTTATTTTCATGGTTTCCATTTTTTTTATAAGTAACTGAAACTGCTGACTACATACCAACTAGTAAAGAGTTTGTTGAGTGTTAAGGTAAAGGGTTAGTAGAAAGTGAACTTGAAATAGGGTTTTAAAGTGCAAGCATTTGGAAATTATATTATTACTGTCACTACTGTACAGTCACATTTTGTGAAAATGGTGACGTCTTGTTCAGATCGGATCTGCTCATGCATTATAATAATTTTATAAAGTTACTACTGGTCTGGTATGTTCAGTCATGAGCAGCATCTGTCATGCATTTCATCTAATGGCTTGTCATTACTGATAACATCTAAATGAGTTACCTATTATCTTCAAATACTGCACTCATTGGAAAATACAGGAAAATTAGTTAAGCTTGGCTATTGAGTTGCCATATATATGTGTATAACAAATGAACGAAGAGGGAATGTGATCAATATAGCTTTTAATTTTACACCTCATTGATCATGTCAATATCTCACACACTTTCAGCCATCGGTAGAAAAACTGGCTCTCACCACACTAGACTTCCTAGAGGAATATGTATCAACTCTGAAAATAATAATAATAATTATGCTGCTGCTGTTCTTAGGCTACTACCAATAAAGATTATACATTTTAACACACGCCTAATTAAACTCTATAATGATATTAATATTATTAACTGTAAAAATATGTTAAATAAAAATAAATTTGAATGCAAAATGTTTTAGAAAAAAATACAACTCTATTCTTCTTTAAAAATGAGTACTTACTGTGTTACTTCCCATAGTTGCAGCTTTTTTTGTAGGCAAACTGTAGGCAAACACACATGAAAACACTCAGGAACCTCATGTGGTCTCATTTCCCTACAGCTGACTTATTGCTTGACTAATTATAATAGTGAACATACAGAAGTAAATTAAGAGTGAGATAGTAAAGGGCTGATTGAAATCTAATCAAATTGATCTCAACTTTAATCAAGCATTAGTAATGACTTGAAGCAGCAGTGGCCTGTAACAAATACGACACACATACATGCGCGCACACACACACACACACACGCACACTCAAAACAGTCTGAAAACCCATCTGGCCATGATGAAATATGAACAAGCTTGTTCAATTTAATACACTCACACTTTAAACACACATGCATATAGACATGCACTGTTTGAGAAGAACTGGACCAACTAAAACAGCAATGTTCTCAATTCCCCCTCATTCTCTGATGTCACAAAGTAAATTGGAGTTTATTGTCATTTCTATAATTAGACAGCCACAGATGTGCACACCTCCTGCCAACCCTGAGCTCTAATTCCTAAATTAATTTCCCTATCCATCTCTAAAACAGGTTCAGCAGGATATTTTAAATTAATTAACTATTATTATTTTTCATGGAAATGTTCTCATTCAGAAGTGTAGCCACAACACAGGCATTTACAAAGCCAACAGTAGGTAATTTTTACTTTTTACTTGATTTTACTGTACCAAGTTTACACAGCTATTATTTTCCTCAGATTTGAGCAATTATTTAAAGGGAGAGTTACCTAACCTAGACAAACACATAATCAAAAATTCAACAACTAAAGAAATTGTTTGTGCAAGCAGCTTTTATGACCAAAAGTTATTGTGTGTTCACACCCAAAGCGACGAAAGCATCAAAGTAGCCAGGAGTCATTCATTTTCAATGCGAGCTGAAGCGGCAAGGATTAGCATGACATGTCTTCGACGGTGTGAGTATCAAGGAGAGTTGAAATCAAGTCAACTTTATGGTAATGAGCTATGACATGGTTCGGTAGCAAGCAATCAGAATGTAAAAGTCCACCTCTTGAGAGAACACAGTCCTGTGAACTTTGGTTCCCAAGGATTTGAATATTGCGGTCTCCAGATTTCCAATTGTTTACAATGTTTTCTTACAGGGACATACATTAAAAAAAAAAGTTGAGGTGAGCAGGGCCGGACTTAACCCATAAGCGAGGTAAGCAGCTGCTTAGAGCTCCAGGAAATTAGAGGGCCCGACCAATGCCAAGAATTGCCTAAACTAATCATATTCTGTAGCACCCCACATAGCAAAATATCTCTGGCAAAGCTCTGGCCCACACCTTTTGTTTGGCCCACATGTCACAGTGATTTACAGTGCATGACTGGACCAAGTCTGGCTTTCAGACAAGGGCCAAACAAGGACCATATCTGGGCCAAGTCTTAGTCGAGTTGATAACCCACAACTGAGCCTATACTGGGCCAGATATGTTGGTGTGTCACAACTGCAATTAAATTGATAAACCCATGAATCGTTGAGCTTAAAGACTGATTTATACTTTTGCATCAAGCACATAGCTCTCGCCGTGGCCGTCGATGTCGCTGATGCGCACCTCTTAAAAATGTTATTAAACGTCGCAATGACGCATAACGCAAGCTCTGTGATTGGTCAGCTTGGTAGCGCTGATGAATGTGGGTGAAGGTGAATACATGCAGCGAGTGTTTACGTGTGTAGAGTCCCGTGAAGGAGCTCTGGATGGAGACTGTTATTTTGTGTTTACCTTATGATTAAATTTGTTGAATGTCTGCCAAATCCAGCCTCAAAATAAGCGAGTTTTACCCACTTGTACATTAAGTAAGCATTCAGAAAAACAAAACACCAGTGAAGAAACTCAACAAAGTGGAACATTTTTTGCCTTGATCTAATTAATACAATAATATGATTAAGGTGTTTACATGAGTTGTCACCATGCTATCCACGTTTCTTCCGTAGTTTCCTGTAATTTCGAGTGTTTCATTGAATTTCTTTTTTACTTTAACAGTTTTACTTTTACTCAGGAACATATCAAGCACGCCTCCTGTGACAAGAAGAAGTGAGTACAAAGTAAGGACTAGTGGAAATGTGTTGTTTTAATGGAATGTGATACCGCAGGGAGAAAAAAATGAGTTGTGTGTGTTTGTGGTCGTTTACTAACTCGGTAGGTGCAGAGAATAGTGTAAAGCAGCCCCGTGTGTATGGAATATTCTGTCGCAAAACACAGCGAAAAGTCCTACATGATGGTAATAGTTTGATCAAGGTGTTTACATGTCTGTATTGCACTTCAATAAAGCCACTAAAATCAGCATACTCCACATGTCTTAATATGATTTGTGTTTAGTTCGATTATGACCTTAATCATATTAAATGAATCAAAAATCACAGTTTACATGCTAGACTCTTATTTAGAGTATTGTCTTAATCATATTAAAATCAGATAAGTGGTGTCCATGTAAACATACTAATTGTTGGGCGTCACCATGAAAAGATGTGACCTGCATAACAATCAGTTATGTGCATTTTAAAGATAATCCTTTACATACATTCCTAATTAAATGGCTTGTATGGGTCATATTTCAGAAAGATGACAAGCAACCTATATGGTCATATGTGGCACTTGGCAATAGATTTAGGTCAGTTTGAAAAAGCTTAATATCGTTTTGACCTTTGACCCACCCAACAATGCCATTGTTGGTGCCCTGAACTTCTTGGATAACAGGTTATAGAGTGGACAAATCTCAAAGAGCCACCCATCTCTTAGTCATGTACTGTAGATAGGCTAAATGCTACTTTTTGTCATTAGCCCAATGCTCAACCTCCAACCTGAAGGACCAGGACATGCACACATACACTACGGACTACAGACAATTTAACTTACCCAATTCACCTGTAGTGCATGTCTTTGGACTGTAAGGGAAACAGGAGAACCCAGAGGAAACCCACACAAACACAGGGAGAACATGCAAACTCCACACAGAAATGCCAACTGGCCCAGCCGGGGCTCAAACCAGCAACCTTCTTGGTTTGAGGCAACAATGCCAACCACTGAACCACTGTGTCACTGAAATTACATGTCTATGTTAAAAAATAAATAAATAAATAAATAAATAAATAAATAAATAAATGTATGTATGTATATATATATATATATATATATATATATATATATTATTTGTGGACGTAGCCCTAGGGTTAGAGATTAGGAGTAAGGATTATGTCTGGTTTAAATTTTCAACAAACTATGTCTCATTCTACTAAACCAGGACATGTGAGCCACTCACCTGATCAGCAGGGCTTCACTAAGGAGGCCAAAGCCAATTGCAGCTGACTTGAAGAGTGAGTGTGGAGGGGGATCGTCAAAAGCAGTCATCATGCGGTGGACCACATATGGCACCAGAGCAAGCAGGAAAAGGGCAATGGACAGAATGGGCCAGGTCTGCCACTGAGAGGCCATGGTCCGCCACGGTGCACATCTCTGGAGTTGATACTGAGGAGACACATAAAGAATGTCTCACTGATTAACAATAAACACATAGGGGACAATTACACAATGACATATTTATTTTGGGATTTTTGGATGTTAAAATAGTTAATTTCCCATTAATGCAAGCCTATTTAAATGGTGTTAGTTGTATTAATGCAGCCAGTGAAGAATGCAGTACCTACTGAAAACTGATGAATGAAAAAGGTACAAATGGTAACATCATATACACAATGGCATCTGACGGTGAAATCAAAAAAAATAGTAAGTAATTTATAAACCAGCTAAGCACAAACAAAACTTCATCCCTTCTGGTTCATATTCACTCATGCATTTTTATTCACTCCTTCAAGCAAATTATATTAGCAGATGTAGTAATACTAATGTAGAGAATAGTCAATAAGGGTATAGGGGCGATTTTAGATAGAGCATGAGTTAAGAGTGTGAACCATGAAAAGTCACCATCGATGGATCTCTGATAATACAATTAACTGTGATGATACTCAACAAAAAGATCTGTGCATACTTAAATTTAACTGCGACTTTATTAATTTTCATGGTATCCAGTGGAAAAAAAATGTATAAATAATAATAAAAAATATTTAAATAATTTTTTACTATTCATTTAAATATAAACTGCCAGTATGGGGGAAAAATAGCATTAGCAATTTAAGTGCAATTAGCATACTTTCTTGGCAATATTCTATTTATAGTAAGTGCAAACAGCTCTCCATATACCTGACATATAATAGATCTAGCCCAATGCCTATTATATCTACCCTTAAGAAGTAGGAGTTATTTTCAATAAAATTATATAATTAGATGCTATGTATGCTTTATATTAGCAGATTCATTTGCACCTCAGTACAGTTATACGTTAACATTATGCAATAATATGTTATTCGTTAAGCAATTCAATTTTTATATAATTTACTTTAATTTTATTGTAAATACGTTATAATGTGATATGTGACAGGAAAAGTGAGAGAGTGCTTGGCAAAAGTCAAACTTAATCCTTGTTGTTTGTGGCATGTACACTAATTCTCTGTTCTGCCTACTCCGCCAAAGCTGTTGTTCACTTGTTGTTTTATAGTGTGTGATTTTGGAAGGCAGAGTTATTGTAAATTATTACTTAGTAAGTGGCACTCTAGATAATCTTGTTTTGTATTTACATTAAGAATAGTTACTAATACATTAGCACATAAGCAATTTAGACTTAATTCAACTAGAGAAGCCAATAGTTAATAATTACCTAAACTGACGAGATGTAGTAACAAATGTTTCCCAAAACCAAAATTTGCAGATACATAATAATAATTAATGTCATTCTTTGTCAAATTATAATGTTGGATGACACGGTGGCTCAGTAGTTCTGTTGCCTCACAGCAAGGAGGTCGCTAGTTCGAATCCCGGCTGGGTCAGATGGAATTTTTGTGTGAAGTTTCCCTGTCCTGAGTTGCAGCTGGAAGGGCATCCGCTGTGTAAAACATATGCTGGGTAAGTTGGCGAAAAAAAACTAAAACCAAAAGACTCATTTATAAAACTAACTTTCTTTATAAAACAGGTCTCTGACCAGTCAGGCATAGAAGCCAAATGTGAAATGTTCAGCCTGATCTCACAAGGAAATGTACCAATTTTACCCTTTAGTCACATTGGAATTATAAGGTTCTAAATGATTTTGAAATATTGAGCTTTAAAGTTTTCGCATTCCATAGCAAACAGTATGAGTGTTACATTTGTTTTTTAAATAAAAAGTCTTAAAATTTAAACAACTTATAAAAAACATCCCATAATGTAAATCTGCTAATTTATACAATTCATACGATTTCAACTCCTAACCCTACCCCTGTAAGGGGATAAGCAAATCTTACTAAAATGTACTAATGGGATTGTACAAATGAATATAAATTAAATCAAATCATTACAATTTTTCCAAAAATTGCATTGGACATATTCAAGAATCCTGTTTAAAACGTTACTATTGGTGCTGTAATTGAACTTTTGTTGAACTAAAAGTTTATCTGCAAAGTATTTTTGCTTTCGGAAAGTAAATACTTTATTAATGATGGTCAAACTGACTATACACAGGTTTTTTTTTTTTTAAATATTTTATATTAGTAGTATTAGTAAATAAATAATTAAATAAATACATAAATAACATAGCAGCTGACAAACATCCATAGAGGTTTGAGTACTGTGTGTGTGTTTTCTTCACGTATATATATATATATATATATATATATATATATATATATATATATTAAAAAAAACTCCTTAGGTTACAACAATGAGAGAACGTTTTAAAGGTCAGATCAGGTTCAGATCTTAACAAAACAATTGTGTTTATTTATCAAGTGGTTTTGTTGTTGCTTTGACTGAAAAATGTAAAACTTTACATTTTTCAGTCACAGCAACAACAAAACCACTTGCATGCAACTGATTACATATAATTGTAATAAATTAAATTCAAATCATTTTAGCAATCAAAATATTTCCAATAACATATCAGAGAAAGCTTTTGTAAGTATGTTGTTGTGTTTTCATTCCGTATCCTGAGGCCTAGTCATTAGGGCTCCACAGAAAACAAACAAGCCGCCTTTGTGAAGCTAAACAACCCTCCTGACTACAGCTTGTGGCTTCACACCTGTTCTCTCTCTCTCTCTCTCTCTCTCTCTCTCTCTCTCTCTCTCTCTCTCTCTCTCTCTCTCTCTCTTTCTCTCTCTCTCTCTCTCTCTCTCCTTGGCTTCAGGCATGGAGAACTCTGTCACAGCCCCACATTGTGTGCGTTTCTGTGTTTGTGTGTGTGTGTGTGTGTGCACTCTTGCGCCCTCAGGCACTTTGTCGCTGACATTTTGTTTTATAGCCTGTTTTATTAATATTCTTGCCACTTACCAAATTAATATCTGAGTTGGTGAGAAATTTAATAACCACAAAATATTTTACAGGAAAGTATTTACTCAGAGGAAGTAGATGAATAGATCGCCACATCCTCGATTCATCTCAGAAATAAACCAAACAGCTATTATTTTTCCAGCAATTTTTTTTGTAGGCCACACAGAAGGCTCCCTTACAGAGTATTAACACGGGTGTTTATTCCTCCTACAATTTCAGCTCTCAGTGCTTGTGTGTTTTTCAGTGATTAAAAGCCCTGATAAATTCACAGGGAAGTTCTTTTTTGTTCTTTGTTCAGTGGTAAAAACTTGTAATTTGCCATTTTGGTAAAGTGACAATACATTTATTTATTTTTCCAACTTTATATAGTAGATTGCTTTTACTCTTTGGGTAATTTTAGTTTTGTTTTGGGTTAATTTTGTTAAATTAATGATGTAAGTTAATTGGCATGAAAGTAAATGACTATAGGGCAATGGTGTCCCAAAAAATGAATTAGTGTCAATTAAATAATAATAATAATAATAATAATAATAATAATAATAATAATAATAATAATAATAATAATAATAATAATAATAATAATTGTTGTTTATTTATTATTAGTTTTTCATTTTGTGTGTAACTATTATAATTTTGTACTGTTTTTTTGGCCCATTTTCTACAAAGAATATGTTACAAACGAGCTGTTAAGCTATATCATCACCAAATATTGAATTACATATTTTTGTCAACTTGTTTTCTTTCAGTTGGGCCTTGTTTTGTGTAATATTTTTTGGAACTAACTGATTTCACATCAAATATACTAATATTTTGCTCAAAGATCGGGTGAATAAGTTCAGATCAATGAGGCATATAATCAATCATTTACATAATGAAATCAAACCTGTAGAAAAGTTGACAAAAAAAGATCAAATCCATTATTTGGTGATATAACATAAAAGGCAATTCACAGTGGGCTTCTATGCACAGCTAGGGTTTTAAAGCCAACGATAAACTTCTGGTGAAAGCTTAAGGTAACTGTTTTTTTTTTTTACAAGGTTGTTTTTATAGCATTGATGTTGTAATGTAATTGTAAAACATTCAGTTAAAAAGACTTAAGCATTCATTTAGTTGTTCAAGCATAAAAGGAAATAAAAGACCGTTGTAACCAGTGCTATCAATAGCAATAGGCTAGCGCAGATATTCCAATGAAATACTAGGGTAAAATAAACGTGAGAATTTTGCACGCATATAGCCCGTTCAACAGATCACAAGGGCTAAAACAAGAACTTCCTAGAAATTTCCAAACAAGTAAGTTGTTTTGATCTCCTCAAATAACTTTTTTTGGCCTGATTTTGTTTTAAAACGACATTTGATTTTGCAAGAAATATACTGTAAAAGGGCCTTAACAAATTACCCTAGAAAAAAAAAAAAGAAAAACTTGGAAATAAAAAAGGGGGAAGAAAAAAGCCTGACAAGCTAACCACTCCTGGTGTGATATCTGGAACAGCATTTAATTAGTGTCGCTGCCTCATCTGCAAATGCACACCGCCGCCTCACTTGTGTTAGAACAGCTATTCATTAATTAGATTCTTTGTGGCAAGTGCCACTGAACTATCTGCAATGTTTAAGGTTGCATCAAGCCGCAGTAAGTGCTTTCCTGATAGCAGGACACATCCATCTTCATTTCTCAGCCTCTATGTTTGACTCTGCCCTTCAGCCAGATGGAGAAAAACACAGAGAGAGAAAGGGAGAGATAGAGAGAGAGAGAGGAAAAGAGCTTCAGAGAGACCTGATACGATTCATCCCAGGCAGACCCTGAACTTTCACCTCTTTTTATATCCGCACAGAAGCTAATTAATTTACAGAGGTAAAGTGGGTGCCCACTTGTGGAGGCGTATAAGAGCTGCTACGATCCTATGGCAAATGGATACAAACCAACATGTGGAGCTTTTCTGGAACTCGCTGGAATAACATCAACATCAAAGTCAGACAAATATAAACAGGCCAGATTCCTCCAGCAAACAGATACGGGGCGTGAGAGGAGAAACTGTCCCACTAGCACACAGATACTTTCTGAATGGCCTTTTCTTCCTCCCTGTGGTCAAGACTAGTACCTACACAACCCCAACCCCCCCCCCCCCCCCCCCATCCAGCACCTGAATGTAAACACTAGTCTGTACATCACGAGCGGACTTTGTTCCTCTGGGGATTTTGCTTTGCTGTGCTCCAGGTGTAATTTTAGGGTTTATTTAGATAGTGAGGGTTTGTGGTATTAGTGGTTTCTGTATGATTGCTTGTAGTCCCACAAGAGTACTGATGGAAAAATGGATTTAGGTTTGACTTGATGATGGTCTGAGGCTGCTGATTTTAATGGGGGTTGTGTGCTTTGAGTACTTTTAAAAGGGTGTTTATATAACCAAGGATTCTGGGAACTGAAAGGTATAGGGCTTTCATGCTTCCTAAT